TTACAGTGGTATTACTGCTTTTCAGAACATGGATAAATGCACTATTTCTCTCCATACATATTAAATAATAATAGCACAAAAGCTGGATGCAATTTTATGACCCATTTTCAGCCAATTTTAGTGTTTTTGTTTCTTTTCAGAATATTCAGTAGTTTTTCAGCATACCCTGGAGAAATGGTAATGTGAAAACTATGGCATCTTATTTTAGTAAAATACCTTTAGTGTATCCTTTGGACATTGCTTCTGAAGTCTAAATTGCATTAGAATCTATTCTATGGAAATACAATTCGTGAAGCAATTATTTTCTGATATTTGGTTGGTATTCTTTTTATGTAAAAATGAGAAGCTTAATTTTGAGAATTATGAAAGTGCCTCTCCCAAACTGACATGTTGTCCTGTTCCCACTGAGTCATTCAAGATGAGCACATTCCTCTCATGAAGGGGCATGTGTTAATACTGCACTTAAAGGCACAATCTAACTCTATCTGTACTGACATGTATCATCAATTAAAAACTATGAAACTACAGCCTTTGTTCAGTTGTCTGACTCATACCTTAGATTATGGACTACAGTTAGAATATGTTACTCTCTATAAACTCACTTCCTCTCATTCTTAAAGTTATTTTAATATTCCTTCATGTCAAATATTAGTTGCTTACTTAATATATTCAATCATTTTTACCATGTCCCAAATATCATGTAGGTACTCCCTGAGGACTACAAATACCCAAGGGACAGTCTTGGCTCTCAAAGAGCTTAGAATCTAATGGAGGAGACAGACATTTACACAAATCTATTACAAGGCTACAAGAGGGATATTGGATTAGGTACCAAAATGGCTGGAGGTGGGAAATGATTAATTCTGATTGAAAAATTTACCAGAGTCCTCTTCTCCAGATATCAGCTCTTTACCTAGATCTGGAAAGATGAGGAGGGTTTCTGCAGCATAAGTGAGGGTTTATCTATCCTCAGGCTAGGAGGTAAGGGAATTAGCACTGTGCCTTCAGGTGGTGGCAAGGGACACAGAGGGTGGTCTCCAAATTCATTTCACAGGTAAAGCAGGAGTTGAACTCTGAATGTTTTATCCCTTTGGATGGCTTTCACGTTCCTTTCAGGTCAGTAGGGAAGATGATATGCAAAATGTGTGATAATCAAGACATTAACTGATAAGGTACAAAAATGGGGAATCAGATCTCTTGGATCTCTTCAGATTTTAGTCAGAAAAAATTATTCATCTTGCAGGGTATGGAAACAATGCAAGGTATCTTATTCATTTATCAGCCATGACCAAATGAGATTCAGAAAATGATTCCCTTGCTTCTTCCTCACGCTCAGAAATTGCAGGTACAGACCAGGTGTGGTGGCTTACACTTGTAATTTCAGCACTTTGGGAGGCCGAGGCAGGAGGATTGCTTGAGGCCAGAAGTTCGAGATCAGTCTGAGCAACATAGCAAGACCCTGTCTTTACAAAAAAATAAATTCGCCAGGTTTCATGGCATGCACCAGTATTCCCAGTTACTGGGGAGACTGAGTTGGGAGGATCATTTGAGCCCAGGAGTTGAGGCTGCAGTGAGCCAATGTCATTCCTCTGCACTCTAGCCTGGGTGACAGAATGAAACCCTGTCTCTAAAGAAAAAACAAACAACAATTAAAAAATAAATGACAGGTGATACACACTCAAAAGCTATTCATGACTGGGTTAGAAAAAGGAGAACAGAAGCTGGGCACGGTGACTCATGCCTGTAATCCCAGCACTTTGGGAGGCCGAGGCAGTTGGATCACCTGAGGGTCAGGAGTTTGAGACCAGTCTGGCCAAGATGGTGAAACGCTGGCTCTACTAAAAATACAAAAATTAGCTGGGTGTGGTGGCTCGCACCTGTAGTCTCAGCTACTCGGGAGCCTGGGGCAGGAGAATTGCTTGAACCCGGGAGGTGGAGGTTGCAGTGAGCTGAGATCATGGCATTGCACTCCAGCCTGACCAACAAGAGCAAAACTCCATTAAAAAAAAAAAAAGAAAGAAAGAAAAAAAGAAAAGAAAAGTAAAAGGGGAGCAGAGCAGAAATAGAAATCAAAGTCTAAATTTTTAAAAAAACAATTTCTCCTTCATACATCCAGAGAAGGCAAATATTCCCAACACATCTTCCCACAGTTCCAAATATTTCCTTGGATTGGATGTTATTTTTAGGGAAGGCATTCAGGATTAGGTTAGGTAGCAACTTGATCCACTGAACACTCATCTGGGAACTTGTCTTGGAATTATTTTCTTGATGAAGACTAAATATCTTGGAATGGAGTTGAAACAAAGGTTAGAACTGGCACTATTTTAAGACTCGTCCATAAAGGTATGTGGTATGTGCTATACTTCACTCCCTGCCTAATACGATGGGCCTTAGTCTAGCTCATAAATGAAGTTCATGAGAAACACAAGCCTTGTGTGTATCTTTTCAATATTTCTTAGGAATGTAGCACTTATCTAGTTAATGCAGCCCTTGAATGTTGCCAGCTCCATTCTGCTCTTGTCGGTTCAATGAAAGCAATTTGATCACAGTGAAGCATGGCCTTGGATTCTTTCAGCTGTTGAGTTGGTGCATTCTCATTAGAAGGAAGGTATTATTTTCTATGTTGCCTAAACTCTAAATAATCAATTTAAGGAGAATAAGATAAAATATCTTTGCTATGGTACACCCACTACTAAGATGGCCCTCAAAGCTCTCTGCCTTTTGGTTTCCATGTCCTTGTGTAATTCCCTTCTCTTTTATGTGAGATGAACTTAGTGTCCTGGTTCGAAAGAATGGATTATGGCAAAAGTGATGGGATATCACTTCCAATATTAGATTTCAAAAGTCTGTGGCTTCTGTCTTCCCAGCACTCTCTTCCACTCCCTGGTTCTTGTTTGATTGCTTGCTCTAGGGGAGCAAGTTGACATATTTAAAGTTGTCCTATGGAGAGGCCCATATGCCAAGGAATTGAGGGTGGTTTCTGGCCAATAGCTAGTGAGAAAATGAAGTCCCTAGCTCAAAGCTTGGAGGGACTGAATCCTGTCAGTGACCATGCATGGGAGTGAGCTTGGAAGCAGATACTTTCTTAGTTGTACATTGAGATGACGGCAGCCTGTGACAGTCCCTGAGTCAGAAGACCCAGATAAGCCACCCTCAGATTCCTGATCCATAGAAACTGAGATAATACATGTTTCAAGCCACTAAGTTTTGAGTTAATTTGTCACACAGCAATGGATGATGAACGCACCTGTTTATAGAAGTGGTAAGACTTAGGAGTGGGGCATAAAAGAAAGAGAATATGTCTATTCAGTTGCATCTGTCAGAGTCACCAACCCAGGTAGGATCTTTGTGACAGATGTTCTACATATACTGTTTATAATCATTGCAACCACCTGGCAAGGATGGTGTTATTCATGCAGTTTGGATGAAACTGAGGTTATGGAAATGTTGTTATTTGGCTCTGAACATGTAGTTAGAAGATGACAGAGATGAGCAAGGAACCAAAGTCTCCCTTACTCTGAAGCCTTGGTTCTGTCCTCTGTATTAGAGGGGTGTTAGAGGCCTGAGTGGGGTTAAGTAGGCTGGAAATCAGAATCACCTGTGGGTCGTTTTATAGTTAATCATGTCACTTTCCTTTTCTGGAGGTCCTGACACTGTTTAAACTAACCATACTACACAGTACAGTTGCACCCGAAGAGTTTTGCCCTTGTACAAGTTCAGCCATATCCCACGCAGCTTGGGCCCCAAATCAGAGAATAAAAACTATGCATTGCAGATAGGTTTTGATTGAGAATATGGTAGTCTTTAGATGCCTCTATGGTGATTAACAAGGTGACCATATGACTTTGGCATTCTGGTGTTAGGTCATTTTAATTAAGTGAAAAATTAAAACAATAGTACCCACAGCTCCACTATTTGATGAGCTTCATATATAGTCTTATGTGTCCCAGTCCCTTCCTCACCTACAACCAAAAATTGACAAAATGAGTTTGGTTAAAGAAGGACAAGTTGGAAGTAGACTGGATGTATGATGAGTGCTGCCTTCATTTGGTTGTGGGAACAAGATTATGAAAAAACAGAAGGGTAACCTATACCTTAGGAAGATGTAGGTAGCCCCAGATGCTCCTGTAGTGGCAGTTTGCCTTCTGAAGCTGGGTAGGCAGCTGCAGAACTGATTGGACTCTGAGAACAGGCTGCGGCTCTGTTTCACCAGCTCTAACGTCAGGTCTAAGGTCTCTCTCCTATCATCAGCCCTTCAGCTCTTGCAACAGCTTTCCTGTCCATGGCTCTGGAGAGGGCCAGATAAGCCTCTGGCTCCTCATGGTTCTCACGCAAGTTATGGTCTTGCTTCCATGGGAGTGGACTCTCCACACACATAAGTGAAAGACATCACAATTAGCTGACAAAGTCCATAGTTTCTCCTGGAGGAGGCGATTGGAGTGGTCTCTTTTTCAATGACTTCCTACAATTTCACTGTGTTTTTGCATAGATTTCTCTAGAGCAGCACTACCCAATAATGTAGGTAGCCCCTAGCCACATGAGGCTATGCAGCATTTGCAATGGGGTTAGTGAGATAGATGAAGTAAATTTTTCATTTAATTTCATTTCAATTAAATTAAACTTAAATGACCGTATGTAGCTGGTGACCGTTGTGTTGGATAATACAGTTCTAGAGGTTGTTCTCATTGTATTGTTGTTTTGTTAATTTATTTTGGGCTGATATTTATTGGACACTTTCTATGTGCCTGGCACTATACTTAGAATTTTGTATATATTCATCCAGTTTTTGCAGAATGCGATGAGATTGATAATATTATTTACATTTTCCAGAGCAGAAAGTTTAATCTCAGAGATGAAGTAGCCTGCTTCAGATCACACAGGCAGGAGACAGGATTCAACATAAAGTCTGTCTGGCTCCAGCCCTGTGTTTCCTGTACAGAAGAATGAGGCAAAGTCGGCAGGAATAGAGGGTTAAAAAAATGGACACAAGACAATGAAAATATACTCTGCGTTATAATAGGTTCTTTCATTTTATTGCTTATTGTAAACACTTTGGCCACAGCAAATGTTAGTTTTTAAATAACCATAATTCAAAGCTTTCACATCCTATACTGTTTTTCCCCAAGCATCATCATCTATGAAAACACCCAGTGAACTCCAACAGTCTATACTTGTAATGTGCGCATTTATGCTATTATGCCACTTAATACAAATAGTAAAAATACTCATCTATTGTAGGTTTATGGGTTTGTAAAATGCCTTATGGGAGGCCATAAACAACTCAAAGAAGAGAGATGGTGTGGACTGAAGTGGCTTCTATTTGGGGAAAATTTGCAGAACGTAGGAGGTATGCAATAAATGTTTATTGATGGTGAAGATGATAAAACTCCATTTCTGCTGGCCTTTCCTTTCCATTTTTCTGAAAGAATATATGGTATATTTGTATTCAGCATTCTCAGAATCATCACAGGGACCCTGGCACTTTGAGAGTCATAGCTGCAGTGTAATTGGGTCTGACCATATGCAGAAGAAAAATAAATTAAAGCATAGGTACTATTAAAATTGTGCTGAAAACTTTATGTAAGTCAGGGAGCCCCTCACTAGAACAGGCTGAAACTCCTGAATGCTTCGCATCCTCATGTATAAGAAAATAATCAGTGCTTAAAAATCAAGGAAGTCATTCAAAACAAATTCAGCTTTTGGACCTTACTGACAGGTAGATTATATTTCAGTCAGATCAACATCTTTCTAATATAGGTATTTGAAAGTAATATATACTAATAATAATGATGTAGTAAGCTTCTTATCTGCAAGTATAGGTACTATAACTTAAACCTTAAAATGCTTCATTTGATTCTTTCATTCAGCAAAATTCTTGGCACTTTTTGGGATTTCACTGAATTTTGATGATGACATTGGATTAAACATTTTAGATTTAATCGCAAAATGACATAAAAATCTAATCATCTATTTCCAATGTTCAATATATAATTTTTATAAATACCTGAAACAACTCATATAAAAATATAAAATGTTAAGGTCACTCACAGCAAAATACAGCACATTAGAATTATTTATTATACATACAAAGGTAGGCACTTCATAAAATTTGCATTTTGGCAAAAGGCAACAGTTTGATGTCAGTATCTTAGTTTTGTTATTAACTTTTTTAAGAGAATAGATTATCAAAATTTTACAAAAAGAAAAAAATAATAGTTTCAAAGATTTCCACAGAAGGGAATCTGAACTTCATTTCCCACTCTTCCTTCTTTTTGCAAGCCTATTGTGTATCTTCATGGTCAAGTTCTGAGATTTTTGCTCCCTGACCTGAAATCCTGTAGGAATATTTGATTTCTCATCTTTTACTCAGAAGTGATGTGTCTGCTACCTGTGGAACGTGATACAATTTTTTTTTTCTCCCCACAGTTGGAATAACCTTTATTCTGATCTACTATACAGTCAGATGATGTTTAGGTGGTAGTAGCTGGCATTGAAGAGTTCTTGGCTTCAAGTGGTTGTTGAGTCTTTTTGGTCTTGTTTTAACTCCGTAATTAAATAAATAAGATCCAACTCTTTCTGTTGTATTCACTATTGAACACATAGGAATTCACTTCACACCCACCTAAAACACAAGCAGAACTTCTGAGGCCCAATGAACCCATCTACTATTTGATTTTGTTATCCCTTCTGGAGCATGTCTCTACCAAGAGCTTCACAAAGCAATCTAGTCGTTGCTCTTTCTTGTACTAAAACCACAGCACCCATCCTGTAACTTCCACCAGGACCTCAAATAGTGCTAGGCACATAGTAAGCTCTTAGGCATTTAAAATACATTTATTGATGAATGAAAGAATGAACAATTCTAGTTCCTACTTTTAAAGCTACGTAGAATAAAGTTGCTTCCTTGTGTAGGCCAAATCATTCTCCCATCCTACTTAGATCTTCTTTTTTCCAGGATCAATACTGAAACTTCCTTCACCTTGGCCTTAAACAACATGATTATCAGATATTTTGTCAATTACATTACTCTTCTCTGAATGTGCTTAGGTGGATCAGCGGATCTCTTAAAATATGGTTCCATAGAACCAAACATTAATACTCCAGATGAGGTCAGCTTTGAGCAGGGTAGAAACCCTTTATCTCCTAGCAGGGATATTCCACCTGACATATTATCTGACCCCAAAAAGTATTCCTTGGAGCAATTCTTTCCTGCCTGTTTCTGAGTAGATGCATTTTATTCCAGGCAAGATCACCCATTGGCACATGTTCCGTTCTGGGAGATAGATTATTTCCTTGGGTTTCCAGGATAAGGAGGGGGTGGAGAACGCTGTGCTGAGCCCTGTGGGGTGGCGGAGTATGGAGGAGGCAAGTCTGCACAGTATTCCATCTCATGGTCGTAACCGTAGGGAGGTGGTGCTGCTGAAAAAGAAGGGGAAGAGAACATCAGGGAGTTAGCAAGTATTTGCATTTCTACTGTGTTGAAGCCACTGGGCTAGACACTTTGGGAAGGGACATAAATTGTGGCTGCAAAAATCTTAGTTTTATTAGGTCGAGACCACATATGTATGAAAGGGTAGGTGCTCTAAAATGTGGTATCATGGGTCAAAGTGTTAAGAATTGGTTGTTTAGAGAAAGTTTCTTGAAAATATGATGCTGAAGGGGCAGAAAGAGAAGCTGAGGGACAATTCAGGTTGATCAAAAGCACTGAAGCGGGAGAGCCCTTCAGCTCAAGCAAAACGTGCATGAAAGGGAGAATGGGAAAAGACAATGAGGAGTCTAGTTGTGTCACCATGGTGGGCTCTGAATGCAATGTAGAATGTATAACATGTAGTTATCAGAGATTCTTTGATCATGGTAGTGAATATGCTTTGGGAAGACCACTCAGCAGTTGACAGAGGCAGAGGTAGATGAAAGAAAAGCTGTAACAATGTAATGGCATATGTGAGGGATGATAAGGGACTCATGACAGTGAGGGGAAAAGCATCCTAACAGTCCTTGAGCGGCCAAGTCTTTAGGTGATGACTGGGTGTGTGGAGAAAGGGGAGAAAATGAAAGAAGGGGTTGAGGTATTGGGTACCCAGTACAGGACTCCTATAATTGGAGGGGGATGGAACCATTACAGAAATATGAAGAAGAAGACAAAAAAGGAGAACAAATAGGTTAGGAAATAAAGATGAATAATTTAATTTTCTGCATCTTATTTGAACATTTTTCTTAAATTAACTTTTTACTGTACCATACGTCAGTGTTTTTAAAAAGTTTTTAAATTTTAAATTATTTTTTGAATCGACAAATAATAATTGTACATATTCATGGGGTATATAGTGATGTTTTGATATGTATAATGTATGATAATCAGATCAGGGTAACTGGTATACCCATTGTCTAAAACAGTTATCATTTCTTTATGCTGGGAACATTTAGCATCTTCCTTCTACCCATTTGAAACTATATTATTATTGATTATAGTCATCCAGTGGTATAGAATACTGGAACTTATTCTTCCTATCTAGCTGTAATATTATATCCCTTAACAAATTTCTCCCTATCCATCCCTTTTTCCTACCGTTCTCAGCCTCTAGTATCCTCTGTTCTACCTTTTAATACACTTTATGACTATGCATAAATGTCTATTTTGTAGTGGTCTCAGTTCCTTTCTCTAGTGTTGATAGAGAAGTACTCCTGGAGCTGAAATTTATTCGTGCTTCCAAGAACTGAATCATTTTGCAACATCTGAGCAACTCCCTCAGCAACCAATCTGATGAATTGCCAGTAGCTGAATCATCCTCAGGATCCTGATTCTGCTTGGAAACGGACATGCCTTAATTGCCTACTGTGAATGTAACCCAAATCACAAGACCAGTGTCATAATAATGCAAATAAGTGGGCAAGCTTTTAATACTAGAATGGCAGAAAAGAACAGACAACATTTCAACAAACTTTTCTAAATGTCTTCTATTAGGTTGAAGCAAAAGTAATTGCAGTTTTTGCCATCAAAGTAATTGCAAAAACTGCAATTGCTTTTGCATGAACCTTAATTTGTACTCTTTCCAATAAGAATTTGACAGTGTTCTGATAAACAGACATAGACATACATAGCGCTTCCACCGATATGCTGACAAAAACTATGTTTTTGATATGGTTTGGCTCTGTGTCCCCACCCAAACGTCATGTCAAATTGTAATTCCCAGTGTTAGGGGAAGGACTTGGTGGGAGGTGATTGGATCAGGGGGGTGGATTTCCCCCTTGCTGTTCTCAGGATAGTGAGTGAGTTTTTACAAGATTCAGTTGTTTCAAAGTGTGTAGCACTTCCCCCTTCTTTCTCTCTTCTCCTGGCCACGTGAAGATGTGCTTGCTTCCCCTTCACCTTCCGCCATGATTACAAATTTCCTGAGGACTCGCCAGCCATGCTTCCTGTACAGCCAGTGGTACTGTGAGTCAGTTAAACCTCTTTTCTCCATAAATTACCCAGACTCAGGTATGTCTTTATAGCAGTGTGAGAATGGACTGATAAAATTTTCTTCTGGATCTTTTTAGTTTGCCTATCTTTATCAAGAGCTTCATGATTTGAACCACTTACTGATTGCCCTGTACTTGGAGGATGTGAGGAAGCAGAATTGAGCCACTGAAGAGAAGAGGAAGATGGAACCACAGAACTGAGTGGGACGTCCCCTGAGTACTCCTTTGTGGAGCAAAAGTCTTGCAAGTCTCTAGTGGGCTGGGCAGGCTGAGGGTGTTCGGCCGAGAACATAGCTCTGTAAATAAATCAGCAAGGATGCATACATACAGTTTCCCCAATGCTCCCTCAGACCCTTGGAGGCTGGGCTACTCCAAGCTCTGTTTCCTGCAACAAAATGGAGTAAGTCCTGTGGAGTCTAAATACACATTCCCTCTGCATTATACCCACTCCTCAACTTCATTATATCTAGGAGCACTGAGACAAAGAGATTTATAATAAACTTCATCCAAGCCAAGAATGAAACACTGCAGCCTCCATGGAAAATAGGAAGTTGCAGCAGGAAACCCTTTGAACTGTTTCGTATAAGCATGTGGTTCTATGCTGCTTTTCTGCCAAAGCTTTTCCCTGCCTCCCACTTGAGGAGCACACACCAACTGATTCTGCAGATTGACTCTACATCATTCTCTGTCATGAAGCCATGGCATGTGTTTATGCATCTCTAACAAAGCGTTTATATTCTGCCATCTGCATAAAAACTGCTGGAGGACATTTCAGCAAGAATCCCTATGGTTTATGCAGCTGCATGTTGAACATGAAAATCTAAGATAGGACAGTGGTCTTTCATTCATATAATCTTTGAACTTCGATAAAGTTCTGATGTAATATTAAAAAGTGGTATTTTGAGGACTACCCACCAAGAAATAAACATGGCACATCTTTTCTAATAGCCACTGGAAGACATTTGAAATAATATTTGTATAACTTTGGCTGTATTATCATTCGTTCTTGCACATAATAAAGTTTCACTGGAAGTAAACTTTTCAAAGTATCAATTTTAGAATTCCTGATTAATCCTAAGAGGTTTTGTTCTTTTTTTACAGCTCAAATCATACTTACAAGTTATATGGATGCAGCTGGAGATACGGTGCTTTTGAAATCCTTTCATAACCAATATTCTAATCTCCTATTTAAGTAGGGTAAATAGGCCACTTATCCTCAATGTCTGATACAGCTGTCTACAGTATTTAAAACATTTAGCAATGCCATGAAATTCGGAGAAGAAATGTAATGTTTTCTATCCACTCAGTCCAATATTTCTAAAGCTAATGTGGTGGGAAGATACATGGTGTTACCCAAACGCTTCACAATTATTTCAGAAAATTTGGAAGCAGAAGAAAATTATCCATAATTTTGTCACTCCAATTTAACAAATAATATCTTTGTATACTGTCTCTTAGTCATTTGTGTGTAGTTGCATCCTTGCAGTCACAGAGCATGGTCTATACTTTTTATTATATATTATATATGATATATATTATATATACTTTGTATAACATAAGTCTTTTCATTCTGCTGCATATTCTTCATAAGCTTTATTAATGGCTGCCTTAGAAGTTATTCCATCCACCATTCACTATTTTGAGGTTAATTTTTTATTGTAATTAATGTAGTGATGAATATCTCCTTACACATAGACTTTTTTTTATTTTGATTTTTTTAAGAATAAAATTCCAGAAATTAATTAGCTGGCTTAAATAACATACATTTTATTGCTTAGAACACATTATAAAACTACTTTCAAAAAGAATTGTTTCAACTTGTAAGGGTATACAAGTACATTATCATTTAATATTTTAGTAAATTAAGTGAAAATTTTAGGTCTTTATTTTACTTGATAATTTCTTTGCTAATAGCTAGGTCTGACACTGTTTTACATCTTGTCCACTGTTTATTACTCATACTGAATGAATTTTGTGCTGTTGTTCTGGACTGGTGATAGTTTCTAAATGATGATCTTAATTTCAGTGAAGATACAAGTAAGATATTTAAAAGTACACAAAATTATATGTCTTTTAATAAAAACCCTTCGTCAAAATGGTTTATTCTATAATTTTTACCTTACTGACATTCTGAAGTTTAAAACCTAGGCATAACAAAACATATGGTTATTCATTTAAAACATCTCTTCTGTGTTGTTTCCAAGTTTAAAAATTAGTCTTCTTTTTCAGATAGTTGATACATAACTATCCTGTTTCTGAGTTTACCTATTTAAATTTATATATTTAATGCTTCTCTACATCTGTTATTTTATTTGGCATATTTTTGCATCAAAGTTTATGTTTTCTAAGATTTAAATTTTGGTTAAGCCAAATTATCTAAATGTGGCTTATTAAATAATCCTCACATTTTACATCCTTTGGCTATGTCTCCTTTAGAGAATATATAATTCTAAACTACCTATTCTGTTCCAATGACCAAGGTATATCTTTTTGTACCAGACACACCTCAGTTTAATTATTAATGATTTTAAATAGTTTTAATACCTGGTAGAACTGATGAATCTCATGCCTTATATTTAAAGACAGTTTCTTATTGTAAACCTTCTCATCTACTCTCCCCCAAAGCCCACTACTCAACACTTTCCTAACCCCACCCAGAACAGAGGGTTTAAATAAAGGCCCACACAGCTCCTGGCAAGACCTTCATTACCCCCATCCCCAGCCACATAAACTCAATACTGTCCATTTATCCTCTACAACGGCCTAGTATGCAAAGATACAGTATAACCTATTGTTCCCCTTCCACTCAGATAGCATCAAGACAAATTCCATCAAGCCTCACATCCCTGTGTCATCATGAGAAAGACAGGTTTCCTTATTGCAGACCTTTAATTCTGGAAGGCTTTGCACATTGATTTATTACTTTTCCAGACGTTCCCCACCCGCCTCACTATGCTCAG